CCCACCACCTCTGCCCCCATCCCCAGCTGTCCTGCTCTGTAGCGAGTGGTTTATTTATTTTTTGTGCATATGATTCTGTGTTTATGAGTAAACATAGGATCAGAGCAGCTTTTTTAAAACTCATCTCTCCCATTGAGTTTTTCCAAGCTTTTTAAAGGTAGCATGACCCCTGCTGGTTGCTGAATGACCTGTTGTTTCCAGATACCTAAAAATACATGCAATAATTGTCAAATAAGTAAGTTTTAAAACATGAAAAAGTGAATTTTACAAAATAGGTGCCCTTTAAGTGCCAGGAGGACTTTAACCAGTAATAAATGGGGGAAACAAAGCAGCCACTGTTCAAAAGAATGGGCCAACACAGAAGAGCTACATCATCAGGTCATGACTCAGTATACACTCAACTATAGACCAGTGGTAACTCTATCAGGATGGTTGATAGTACTTCTTATAGAGCTGAGTTTACCTGTAACTCCCTCAGATTGAAGGAGTCTTTTGGAGAAGAGACAAAATGTTTTTAACGAAGAACTCATCCAGAGGAACTACTCATTTTTTTAGATAAAGATGTCTTCTATTCCTTTAAAAATATTTTCTTGTGCTACTTTTACATACTGTTCTGCTACTTTCATCTACTGTTGTCAACAATTCTGCAGGAAATGTTTTAGTTATTCAATATCCTTCACTTATCCACAGAAACATTTAGCTATGTTAACCTGAGAAAAACAAGGTCACCATTGTTTTAAGAACAGTGTTTTCCTTGGACCAGGTGTTGAAAAACGACCTGCAGAAGAAGATCCACACTGTTCAGAAGCTACATGAACACGTCAGAGGAAACCTCACTGACTTCTGCTCCCAACGCAAACATCTGGAAGACTACATTTTCCAAATGTCTGCGTGGCTCAGAAGTATGGAGGACTCGTTGGTGTCTTCTCCCACAGGATCAGATCCTGAAGACATCTGCAGAGTAAAGGTGCAACCTAAAAACAAACCACAATGAAGGCTTGTGAAATGTTTAGGTACTGCAGAACAATCTCTGAACTGTACAAGACATGTTGGTGATTGTTGTAGGACCTTCAGAAAGAGCTGCAGAACCAGCAGGGTAGCATCGATTCCACCAGGGAGAGCCTGAACAACCTGTGCAGGAAGTATCCCTCTGAGGAGCTGTCTGCTTTGGGATCTTCTCTCACTGACCTCATCAAGACGTATGAGTCTGTCAACCAGCTTTCTGCCAGGACCCTCAGCTCCATGCAGAACTGTCTTCAGCGGCACTTCAGTGGTAAGAAGGAGCAGTCAGGTTCATTCTTCAGTCTACAGATATAATTAATATAACTTTTTTTATACCTCAAAATGATTTGCACTTTTGCTGAAGACAAATAAGGGTGCATTTACACCAGCCCTGTTTAGTCTGCTTTAATCAAACTCTAGTTCGTTTGCCTGGAAAGTCCGGTTTGTTTGGGAAGGTGTGAATGTTCGTATTCACACCTGATAGTCCGGTAGACTCAGTTCGATTGGGGACCAAAACTGCAAGCTTTGTTTCCATTTTCTGTTGGTGTGGTTTGAATTCACACTGCACTTTCTCAGCCGAACTAAACCCAGTAAACCTGTTCCCGCCCTCACCTGTGGGGGCGCTGCACAAAAAAACCACTGAAGGAATCAACATGAAAACCTCAGAAGAAGACATGGAGCACAACTTCCTTCTTCACAAAATGTAAACAAACAATAGTAACGTTACATTTTAGTGGTTATAGGGTTTATTTTTTGTTTTTGGCAAATGTGCTAAACAGTCTTCAACAATGAGCTCAGCATGAGAGGAAGATGAGGCGGAACCACGGAGATTATTGTTTTGCACACAAGGCGGCTGAGGAAGCTCCGTGTTAATCAAGTAGGAGCGCGTCCAGCTCCACATTCATGATGTCCACCTTATACAGTTGTCCAGCGAGGTATTTACACCATATAAGTAAATTTCTTACTGTTAGAGATGGGTACCGAATTCGATACTTTTTGATGTAAAGACCGAATTCTGTCGGTACTACCGAGTATCTATTCACATAACATCAAACGGTTCCACGTTTCGGTACCTAAACGCATCATTGCGACTGGTTTGGCGTAAGTGTGGTGAGTTTTCCACACTTGTCCTGAATGCAGCATCACGCAAAAGCGTAATGACATCAGCAGCACCCGCCCACTGGTAAACAGAGGCAGCAGAGCTCAGTCTGAACGTAGCTTGAAAGCCTCGCAGCTCCTGGAGTAAAACTCGCCGAACAGACCACCTCTGAATTATCTGGTGGATTAATTATCTTGTGAACACGACGTTCGCTTGCTCAAAGTAAATAAAGTACCGCCACTTTCTTTATTTCATCCGCCATTAAGCAGAGACCGGCAGAGGAAAACAACAGAGGAGCTTCCCGACTGTCTGGTCGTCTGACCTAAAGAGCACAAGCAGCCAGCTAAAGTGTTGGATGTGTTTTGGATGCTCAAAAAGTAGCTTGAACACCTTTTATTTATTTTAACTGCATCCTCTTTTGTTTATTTGATTTAAATTAAACTTATTTGCCTTCCATGGACCTCCATCACACAATTTTTCTAGTGGGGATCAGTTGAAGTGAACTCTGGTGCGGTTCGATTGCATGTGTGAACACCAACTGGACCAGAGACTGTTCCAAGAGCTGAAAGCAGACTATAACTCAGATCATTCTGAGTAACAACAGTAATAAAAATACTCATATCTTGTAAAAACCTTCCTGTACGTCTATATAAGGTGTACATCACTGCTGTGAAGCTGGATGCACGCCCACTCGGTGAACGTTGCCTCACACAGAGCCATCTCAGCCGCCTTGTGTGGGGAAACAATATTCTTCACGGTTCTGCCTCATCTCCACTCAGGCTGAACTCATTGTGGAAGAGTGTTTGACACATTTTCCAAAACCAAAACATAATTCCTAGAACCACTAAAATCTGACATCAGTCTGTTGGTTTACATTTTGTGAAGAAGGAAGTTGCGCTCAGTGTCTTCCTCTGAGTTTTTTATGTTGATTCCTTCAGTAGGTCTTGTTGCAGCGCCCCCACAGGTGAGGGGGGGTGGGGTAACAAGGTTGTTCACAGGGTTTAGTTCGTTTGTCAAAGTGCAGTGTGAATATGAACTGCACCAGTTGAAAATGAAAACAGATCTTGCAATTGTGGTCCCCAATCGAACCGAGTCTACCAGACTATCAGGTGTGAATACGACCTAAGAAACAATATTTCCCCTCATCTTTGTGTTGTGTTCACTTGTCTGCCATATTAGCTAAATATTTTACTTCAGGATAATCTCAAAAGTCAGTAATTATAAATCTTTTAGGATGCGGTCCAAGTCTTCAGCATTTTCACGAGCATACAAACCGTTTGTTGGGGAGGGGGTTGTCAAGGACTGTTGTATGCTTTTCAAAATTAAAGAAATGTTGACCTTTGTTTGATGCTCTGTATGACCGACATGATGCTACTGTCCTGCAGAGCAAATATTTGGCTCATCAAAAAGACAGTTCCATATAATGGCCCAGCAGATCAGTCCAGGCTTTCAGAAATATGTCCTGCAGAACCAGGGCACGTGGAGAAGTGTGTCACATTGATGTGTGATGATTGACTCCCTCCTTTCAATCACTAAACGTATTGAAGGAATGCTTAACAATATTTTAAGTAACTGCAAAGTTGCTGTGCCACTCATCATCAATATAAACCGGTTTGTTTTTGTGTAGTCCAGTGAGCAGTAGCCACATGAGCCGCAGCTCTGAGAGGTTTTTTTTCATACACATTCATCAATATTTCCTCAGTAATAAATTTGTTTGTTGTTGTATAGTCCCAGGACCAGTGGTTGCAATATTATTGTCAACACATAAACTGAAGCTCCATGATTTATTTTTCTGACAGATCAGCACACGGAGCTGGAGAGCAACCCCAGTGTCTCTGAGTCAGGTTAACGTGTGCAGACAGTTTATCATAAATATCAATAACCTACTTCTTTAGCTATAAGTTTTAAGCAGCGTGCAATGCGTGCAAATGTGAAATGACAATAATTTTATATTAATACATTGTTGTGTCTCAGAAAGTTGTGCTTCTTTATCAGATCTATAAAAAACTTTATACTTCCACAATATAGACTTCAGTCAATTTGTTACTAAAAAACAACAAAACAAAATGGAATTGATAGAATTTATGTATTTTCACAATTCAAACTGTTACATTATACTTTACTTACTTACTTTGTCATCCTTCTGTAGAAGGCGACCTATGACCTAATATGGTCAAAGGTTTTCTATTGCTAGTATTCCAATATGGCGCAACTCCTACATTGTATACATTATAAAAAAAATAAATTATTTTTCTTATCATTTGATTGTTAAAATTTCAGTCTTGTGTGGATCAAACGATAGGAAACGTTTTAGGAAATTAGGTTAAATAATAAATGTCTCCAGACCCAAATCTAATTAAAAAGTAAAAGAAAAACAAAAGGGAAAAAAAGTTGTGAAAGCTGCAAATATACTTTGTTACAATAATGTGTGCAATGTTTAGTACTGTTTATGAGAGTAGAAACCATTCTTATTAATATTCTCTTCAAGTTTAGTTTGGCATTTCTGATAAAGTCTTTATTATTTGCTGTAATCTGACACACTGAGGTGTTCCTCAGTGTTTATAGTAAGGTCAACTGGTCTCTGAAGGTGAATGACAATATTTTTTCCACATTAAGATTGGAACGAGGGGAACCTAGATGTCCCAATGGAATGGTTGCTGGTCGGGTCAGTGGTTCCTGGGGGGCTTGGAATCTGATCTTTCTGGCGCCGCTTCCCATTGAAGATGTGGACAATTTGTACATATTTGGATTTATGATAACTAGATTTCTGCTAATTAGCGGAGGCCGATTTCTGATCTATCGGAAAATGAAAGCGATCCTGACAGCGGTCCGGGCCTGTGAAAAGCTGTCGGGCGTAGTGGATGGAATCTGTCATCATCATCATCATCATCATCATCATCATCATCATCATCATCATCATCATCATCATCATCGTTTATNTAAATTAACTATGAATTAATTATCTGGTGAGCTCTACGTGCTCTTGCTCTCAGTAAATAAAGCAAAGCCACTTTCTTTATTTCATCCGCCATTAAGCAGAGACCGGCAGAGGAAAACAACAGAGGAGCTTCCCGACTGTCTGGTCGTCTGACCTAAAGAGCACAAGCAGCCAGCTAAAGTGTTGGATGTGTTTTGGATGCTCAAAAAGTAGCTTGAACACCTTTTATTTATTTTAACTGCATCCTCTTTTGTTTATTTGATTTAAATTAAACTTATTTGCCTTCCATGGACCTCCATCACACAATTTTTCTAGTGGGGATCAGTTGAAGTGAACTCTGGTGCGGTTCGATTGCATGTGTGAACACCAACTGGACCAGAGACTGTTCCAAGAGCTGAAAGCAGACTATAACTCAGATCATTCTGAGTAACAACAGTAATAAAAATACTCATATCTTGTAAAAACCTTCCTGTACGTCTATATAAGGTGTACATCACTGCTGTGAAGCTGGATGCACGCCCACTCGGTGAACGTTGCCTCACACAGAGCCATCTCAGCCGCCTTGTGTGGGGAAACAATATTCTTCACGGTTCTGCCTCATCTCCACTCAGGCTGAACTCATTGTGGAAGAGTGTTTGACACATTTTCCAAAACCAAAACATAATTCCTAGAACCACTAAAATCTGACATCAGTCTGTTGGTTTACATTTTGTGAAGAAGGAAGTTGCGCTCAGTGTCTTCCTCTGAGTTTTTTATGTTGATTCCTTCAGTAGGTCTTGTTGCAGCGCCCCCACAGGTGAGGGGGGGTGGGGTAACAAGGTTGTTCACAGGGTTTAGTTCGTTTGTCAAAGTGCAGTGTGAATATGAACTGCACCAGTTGAAAATGAAAACAGATCTTGCAATTGTGGTCCCCAATCGAACCGAGTCTACCAGACTATCAGGTGTGAATACGACCTAAGAAACAATATTTCCCCTCATCTTTGTGTTGTGTTCACTTGTCTGCCATATTAGCTAAATATTTTACTTCAGGATAATCTCAAAAGTCAGTAATTATAAATCTTTTAGGATGCGGTCCAAGTCTTCAGCATTTTCACGAGCATACAAACCGTTTGTTGGGGAGGGGGTTGTCAAGGACTGTTGTATGCTTTTCAAAATTAAAGAAATGTTGACCTTTGTTTGATGCTCTGTATGACCGACATGATGCTACTGTCCTGCAGAGCAAATATTTGGCTCATCAAAAAGACAGTTCCATATAATGGCCCAGCAGATCAGTCCAGGCTTTCAGAAATATGTCCTGCAGAACCAGGGCACGTGGAGAAGTGTGTCACATTGATGTGTGATGATTGACTCCCTCCTTTCAATCACTAAACGTATTGAAGGAATGCTTAACAATATTTTAAGTAACTGCAAAGTTGCTGTGCCACTCATCATCAATATAAACCGGTTTGTTTTTGTGTAGTCCAGTGAGCAGTAGCCACATGAGCCGCAGCTCTGAGAGGTTTTTTTTCATACACATTCATCAATATTTCCTCAGTAATAAATTTGTTTGTTGTTGTATAGTCCCAGGACCAGTGGTTGCAATATTATTGTCAACACATAAACTGAAGCTCCATGATTTATTTTTCTGACAGATCAGCACACGGAGCTGGAGAGCAACCCCAGTGTCTCTGAGTCAGGTTAACGTGTGCAGACAGTTTATCATAAATATCAATAACCTACTTCTTTAGCTATAAGTTTTAAGCAGCGTGCAATGCGTGCAAATGTGAAATGACAATAATTTTATATTAATACATTGTTGTGTCTCAGAAAGTTGTGCTTCTTTATCAGATCTATAAAAAACTTTATACTTCCACAATATAGACTTCAGTCAATTTGTTACTAAAAAACAACAAAACAAAATGGAATTGATAGAATTTATGTATTTTCACAATTCAAACTGTTACATTATACTTTACTTACTTACTTTGTCATCCTTCTGTAGAAGGCGACCTATGACCTAATATGGTCAAAGGTTTTCTATTGCTAGTATTCCAATATGGCGCAACTCCTACATTGTATACATTATAAAAAAAATAAATTATTTTTCTTATCATTTGATTGTTAAAATTTCAGTCTTGTGTGGATCAAACGATAGGAAACGTTTTAGGAAATTAGGTTAAATAATAAATGTCTCCAGACCCAAATCTAATTAAAAAGTAAAAGAAAAACAAAAGGGAAAAAAAGTTGTGAAAGCTGCAAATATACTTTGTTACAATAATGTGTGCAATGTTTAGTACTGTTTATGAGAGTAGAAACCATTCTTATTAATATTCTCTTCAAGTTTAGTTTGGCATTTCTGATAAAGTCTTTATTATTTGCTGTAATCTGACACACTGAGGTGTTCCTCAGTGTTTATAGTAAGGTCAACTGGTCTCTGAAGGTGAATGACAATATTTTTTCCACATTAAGATTGGAACGAGGGGAACCTAGATGTCCCAATGGAATGGTTGCTGGTCGGGTCAGTGGTTCCTGGGGGGCTTGGAATCTGATCTTTCTGGCGCCGCTTCCCATTGAAGATGTGGACAATTTGTACATATTTGGATTTATGATAACTAGATTTCTGCTAATTAGCGGAGGCCGATTTCTGATCTATCGGAAAATGAAAGCGATCCTGACAGCGGTCCGGGCCTGTGAAAAGCTGTCGGGCGTAGTGGATGGAATCTGTCATCATCATCATCATCATCATCATCATCATCATCATCATCATCATCATCATCATCATCATCGTTTATCATCATCATCATCATCATCATCATCATCATCGTTTATTTATAAAGCACAATAAAAACCAAAGTGCTGTACAGGAGCATAAAATAAAAACACGTTATGAGAGCGCACAGACTCAGATGCTGGGGGAGATAAGTCGTAAACTGGATGTGATTCTGATGAGAATTGCAGCCCAGGAGCGTGCTTCTGGCATGTAGGATCACATCTGGGTGAAGCTTCAGACGGTGAGGGGCGAGGAGGACACGAAATTTAGAACTTTTTTTTCGCCATTTTCAGAGATGCAATGAGACTGAAAGCAGCAACAAAAATTCAAGGCCGCTTGTCCCAAAACAATTGTGTTTATCTTTTTGGATCCCAGCTGCTGGCCTCGATTGGCATGCTTATCTAAACTTCCTGGGATGATATGTCAGCAAGGGCTTGATTCCCTTCCCTCCCCCGTATCACCCGTGTGTGGGACCGGAGGAAGGGGAAACTGTGAACTGAGCATGAGACGATAAGATCTGGTTCGATTCCAGCTCGGAGAATTAACCTAAAACATCACCGGCTCCACTGAATCCTGCCCCCTTCTCATGTGTTTGTCCCCCAGCCCCCCACCCTCAACTGTCTTGCTCTGTAGCGAGTGGTTTTTTTGGGCATGTGATTCTGTGTTTATGAGTAAACATTAGCCTGGTTCAAACCAGACCCTGTCCTTCACTTTACTTCGTACAAGGGTCTGGACTTGACGCATAAAGAAGTGATTCTTGCAGGAGGTGTGGCCTCTGCTTAAGCATGTGTGTGTTGTCAGTGTGAAGGAGGCTAAGCTAAGAAGCTAACCGGAAATCGCGTGTGCTGTAAACAACCCTATTGAGAGGAGAAATATACCGAGATGAACGAGACGACTGTAAATGAGAGCTGCTGCTTTGTCAGACAAATTTATTTTAATTTGGAAGCCTTATCAACACAGACTGGCTTCATTCACTTCCTCCACTGCCGTATGCTAAAATAACCAGCAGGCACTGCGCAGAAAGTCGACGTCGTTCAAAACTCTTCCTTCTTTTTGCTGATTGGCCCAGGTAAAATAAACTACAAGCAGACATTGAGCAGAAAATTGATGTTCTGTTTTCTGATTGGCCCGGTTAAAAATCTGCCAGCGAAATCCTTGTCAATGGGAGAAGTCCCAGATGGAGCAGAGAAGGGAAACTAGAATTGAGCGGAGCTGCGTAGGAAGGCAAGGGCCAGGCTATGTAAACATAGGCTCAGAGCAACTTTTTAAAACTCATCTCTCCTATTGTGTTTTTCCAAGCTTTTTAAAGGTAGCATGACCCCTGCTGGTTGCTGTATGACCTGAACACCAATTCCCCCATGTTTTTGTCATGTGTGTCTTCTTGAAAGGGTGTTCTTAAATGTAATTTCATTGTGCTCCGTACAATGACAATAAAGGCATCATCAATCAAATTGATCAATCAAGGAAAGAGATTTACAGTCAGTGTGTATTTAGGTAAATGTGATGTTACACATTAGTGACTCTGTTGTACATCAGTCACACATGGTTGCTGCTGTATTACTGTATCTATAAAGGTGAGTTAGGTTAGTGTCCCAGCCTCATGGAAAATGGGTTTCTGAAAATCAAAAATATTTGTACACATTTTTTTGGGGGGGAGGTGGGTCTCCTAAAAGTATATGTTTTGTACACTCATGAGGTCATTTACAATTCTCAACCTTTTCACGTCATGGACTTTTTGAGTCATTCCAGTTCAAGATGGCTGCCACAGCCAGATGACCTCAGACCTTTGGTTCTGAAGCTGCTGATTCACAAAATTAATCTTGTATAAGTATATAAGTATCACTAACACAGTCAACAAGGACAGTATGATCACAACTTTACAGAATTTACTACTCACAGTGTGGTAATCCCTGCCTCAGACCACTAAAAACAGCTGTAACTCAGTCACTGTTACTGATACAGAGCAACATGTTAGAGTGGTAATAGCTGAGATTCATCCTCAAACGATAGTCTGAGTGCTGTCACATCACGAGGTTAAATCTCTTAACATGGGTGGTTGTGGCAGAGTATTTAGGGGAGTTGTCCTGTAACCGGTGGGTTGTCAGTTGGATCCCTTGTTCCTTCCATCTCAGTCGAGCCCTTGGACAAGACATTTCACCCGCCTTGGCTTGGCTTCTGGTGTTAGTCACAGGGTCCAAAGGCATTGGTGGCATGGCAGCCTCGCCTCTGTGTGCCCCAGGGCAGCTGTGACTACAATGTAGCTCACCACCATCACTGTATGAATGAGTGAACAACTGGTGTAAAGCACTTTGTAGCCCGTAGGGACTTGACAAAGCACCATATAAGTTCAGACCATTTAACTTGATCTTAGGCTACAACTCCACCATGAATGGCAGTGTGTGATATGCATTGTTTTAAAGAGTCTCTCCCCCTCATCTTCAGATCTTGTCCAGGATTTTCACCACTGGCTTTTAGAACAAAGAGAGATCGTGAAAGAATGTTCTGACCGATCAGGAGATACACAAATTGTGGAACGTAAACTACAGAAACTCAAGGTAAAGTTACAGTTGCTTATATAACAAACATTACAAAGTTTCCTCAAAAATAAATTGATTTTCTACGTTTCTTTTCCTAAAACGTTATTAAATAAAATAAACTAAAGGTGATTTTGTTTATGTGTAAGGGTGCCATGGATCGTGTAGAAGAGGGTGAAATGCGATTGACTCAAGTCTGTACAGAGGGAGAGAAGCTTCTTCTTCATCTCCCTAAAACCAGCTCTGGGCAGGTCCAGCAGCACCTCTCCTCCATCCAACAGGACTGGGACAGCTTTGTGGAGCAATGCAGGCAGAACCAACAGATCCTTGAGGACAGCGCGTCACTTATGAAAGGGTAAAAGATGAATGCTTGCTTGTCCTCTGACCCTAATAAATTCATTGTTTATAAACCAGACATGCATGTTGTTCAGGTTTGAGAGTCGTCTGAAGAAACTTAGGTGGTGGTTGGAACACATGGAGAACAGGATGACCACAGATCTACTGGAAGCCAAACAACGAGGTCATGAAAAAGTTGTGCTTGACCAGGTGGAGGAATACCTGCAAGAAGTCCTCAAAGAGAGGTGATAAATGTCTCTTTACTCAGATAATACATATCTATTTTCTGTCAGATTTTTAATGAACTGCACCTAAAATCATAAGTGCCTCCTCTTAGATGGTTATAATTATCACTGTTGATAGATTGCCTGTCTTTGGCTGTCATATTAGCAAAATATATGGTGCAGCTGAAAAGATTTTAATGAAACTGTCAGAAAAGTATTAGACATACATGTGTGACTGATCTGTTCTGGTGTTGTTTACACGCAGAGATTCATTTGAGCGTCTCTGTCAGGAGGCACAGGCTCTGAATGAGGGAGGACGAGGGGATGAAAGTGAGACCAGAGTTTCAGCTCAGCTGCAGTCCCAGCACCAGGCCTTGTTGAGGCGTGTGAGGGAAAGGCTGCACAGCTGCCAGCTCACTTTACAGGAGCAGCAAGCCTTTGAAGAGACACTGCAGACCACTTGGTCCTGGTTAAATGGTGTCCAGGACCGTCTGACTTCATTTAACAGCACTGTTGGCAATAAGGAGACTCTGGAAAAAAGACTTGATCTCGTACAGGTTACTAAATAATTCCTTACTCTGCTCTTTTATTGGTTCTGCACATATTTTGATTGAATATAAATGGGTATACAGTGGGATCATGGCTTATTTTTTTATGTTTTGTTGAAGGATATACTGCTCATGAAAGGTGAGGGTGAAGTAATGCTCAATATGGCCGTTGGAAAAGGAGAACAGGTTCTGAAACACAACAGAACTGAGGGGCAGGAGACCATTTCTTCACAGCTTCAAAGCCTGAAGGATGCATGGGCCAACATGCTAATGAATGCTATAAGTGCCCACAGGTAGGAAACAGCTGTACATTGTGTAAAATGTAAAAAATAAAATCATTTGGAGCTTGATGGCAGCAACACATCTCAGAACTATCAGAACAGGTTCAGGTTTGATCAGGTCTGATGGAGGACTCTAGCTGTTCTATAGTCCTGATAGGTTTTCTGTTTCAGGATGTATTAAATGTTTTCATTTGGGAAGAGTTCAGGACTTCAGGCAGGTCAGTTTAGCACCTTGGCACTTCTACTATGAAGTCATGTTGTGATGGAATCAGGATGTGGTTTAACTTTGTCTGGATGAAATGTGGACGGTTTTCTATAAAGAGAGGCTTAGAGGACTTCCAGGCCGGAACAGAACAAAGATGGCAGCTCGGTAGAGAGACTCCTGAGAAAACTGGAAAAATTAGTAAAGTAATTACTAATACAGAGCAGACTGTACTTCTTAAGGAAGCTGAGATCCTTCAATGTCTGCAGCAAGATGCTGCAGATCTTCTACAAGTCTGTTGTTGAGAGTGTCATCTTGTCTGCCATCATCTGTTGGGGTAGCAGCATCAGCGCCAGGGACCTAAAA